ATGAGAGGATTAAGGCTCTCGTGTCGGACAATTCGGAATCTGAAGAGGACACAAGCTGCTTCAAAATTTAAAAAAGAGCCCCAGCCTCTAAACTGAAGACCCCTGCTGCTCAAACTAAAGGGCGGGTGAGCCAAGTCGTGGCCGCTTTTGAAGCTGGGCTTGCTATCAATTTTGAGACAGCCATGCCCTCTGGAACAGATGGGGGTAATTAATCCGACTACGAAGGAGCAGGCTATGATACAGGGAACTGACTCGCAGTTGGACGAGTATGGGACCAATTTATCGAACCCGGAGTTTGGGGCACGCAAACGCCCATTGGAGGCTGTTGAGGGTGATTTGGGTGATATGCCCACACCGAAAAAACAATTTGTTGAAGTTGCTGAAAATGAGAATCTAAAGGTGGAGGAAGCCAGCCTGGAATGGCCCCAGTCAGATAAATGAAACTTTTGGCCTGGAATGTGAGGGGAATTGGGCCATCCCTCACATTCCAAACGGCGGTCGGTTTGGTTCGTTCTAATAAACCGGATCTCGTGTTCTTCTCCGAGACACGATCGAGCCGGCGTGTTGTCTCCCGTCGTATGAGGGGGCTGGGTTTTGTTCTTTCTAATTGTTATTTTATTGATGCTATTGATGCATCGGGTGGGTTAGTAGTAGCTTGGTCCCCCGGAGTTGATACTTCGATGTTTTATCATTCGAACTTTTGTATTTGCTCCAGAATCAATGAAGTTGATTTTTCTTATATTGTGGTTTTTGCCTACATTAGCTGTAATAATGCGATCAGAGCCTCCCAATTGGCTCACCTCCAGGAGCTGTGCTCTACTTTCCACCTACCCTATGTGGTTATGGGCGATTTCAATACAACTCTTAATGAGAGTGAGAAGGATGGGGGTAACCCCTGGAATGCAAATCAGGCGCATAGTCTCCGTGAGTTTATTCACGATCTGGGGCTCCATGATCCAGGTTTCCTTGGGGATCAATTCACGTGGACTAATAAGAGGATGGGTGCAGCTTGTATCCGTGAACGTCTGGATAGGAGCCTTTGCTCCCAACTTTGGATGGAACGATTCCCGGAGACCTTGGTCAAACATTTCACTGATCAAGGTCTGATCATCGGGCCATTCTTCTCTCCGATAAAGCCTATGCCAGAAATTGCCGCCCTCTGTTCCGGTTTGATGCTCGCTGGGCGGATAACCCGAAGGTTATAGCAATGGTTAATTATGTGTGGAAAGAAGAAGTTCAGGGTACTCCTATGTTCTGCCTTTGGGAGCGTCTCAAGAGGCTGCGTCACCTATTGTATGATTGGAGTCAGGCGGGGACTACCAATTCCTTACGGAATATTAATACTCTGCAGGGTGAAATTGCGAGGATAAAAGGTTCCCACCCGATCGATTGGGAGTCGGTCCGGAATTTGGAAGTGGAATTGAGCCAACAATGGGAGGCCGAGGAGTTGTACTGGCAGCAGAAATCCAGGGTTAACTGGCTAAAGAAGGGTGACAAGAATACGTCTTATTTTCATACAGTGACCAGGACCCGGCGGAAAAAGAATTTTGTGGAAGGTCTCCGGAATGATGAGGGGGAGTGGGTCACTCATGAACCAGGAAAGGCTGGTGTGGCGACTGCCTTTTATCAGCATCTTTTTACCACTGAGAACCAAGTGGAAAACATGGCGGCTCGGGTGGCAGCTCTTCCCATTGCCCGGAGTGTTACTCCTGAAATGAACGCCACCCTTACGGCTGAGGTGTCCCTGAGGAAGTACGGAGGATGGTTTTTACTATGGGGTCTAAACGGGCTCCCGGATCGGATGGGTTCACGGGAAAGTTTTTCAAGGCCTTTTGGGATATTGTGGGTCCTTCGGTTATTGATGCGGTGTGCTCCTTCTTTACTACAAGCAGGATGCTGCGCAGTTTCAACCATACCTGGCTTACGTTGATCCCAAAGGTGGAGAATGCGGAAACCATGAAACAATTACGGCCAATCAGCTTATGTCAGTTTGTCTATAAAGTGATCACTAAGATCATGGCGGAGAGGCTAGCATGTATCCTCCCAGAAATCATATCTGACGGCCAAAATGCCTTTATACGGGAGAGGCAAATTGTTGACAATATCCTACTAGGACATGAGTTAATGCATTACTTGAAAATCAAGACGCGAGGTAAGAAAGGGTTTATGGCCTTAAAGGTTGACATGGAAAAGGCCTATGATAGGGTTGAATGGCCCTTTCTTCTCGCAGTCCTAGACAAGATGAGCTTTAACACTGTCTGGAAGGATTGGATTTATGAGTGCCTCCGTTCGGCCTCGTTCTCGGTGCTTATGAATGGGGCTCCGTCGGGCTACTTTTCCCCTACTAGGGGATTGCGTCAAGGTGATCCGCTCTCCCCTCTCCTCTTTGTGCTGTGTACGGAAGGGTTTTCGGCCCTTATCCGGAAGGCTATTGCTGATAAGAAGCTTGAGGGAGTAAAAGTGGCCCCCCGGGCCCCTAGGATTTCGCATTTATTTTTTGCGGATGATTCATACTTATTTTTACGAGGAACCCTTCAGGAATGCGAGAATCTGATGGTGGTCCTCAATGAATATGAGGAATTGAGTGGACAGAAGATAAACTTGGCGAAGTCTGTTGTATGCTTCAGCAAGAATATTGTGCGAGAGGATCAGGAATTCCTTGCGGCAGTGCTGGGGGTGGGAGCAGTAGGGGTCCATGATAAGTATCTGGGCCTACCTACCCTGATTGCTCGGTCGAAGACGGCTACGTTCCGGTTCCTGGAGGCTAAGTTGCTTGAGCGCCTCCAGGGATGGAAGCAGCGGACGTTGTCTTGGGCGGCCAAGGAAACCTTAATCAAATCGATTGCCCTGGCGCTACCTCAACACGCTATGTCTTGTTTTAAGCTACCTGCCTCCCTTTGTTGTCTTCTGGACAAGTATGTGGCGAGATTCTGGTGGGGGGATGTGGAGGGCCACCCTAAGATTTGATGGATGTCGTGGCGCAATATGTGCAGGAGTAAGCACGAGGGGGGGATGGGCTTTCGGCGGTTTGAACAATTTAATCAGGCCCTTTTGGCTAAAATTGGCTGGTGAATCCTTACTGAGCCGACTTCCCTTCTCGCCCAGGTTTACAAAGGCAAGTATTTCCCAAATGGGTCATTTTTGCAAGCTACAGCCCGCTCTCGGCGCTCTTGGGGATGGCAAAGCATTCTGTTCGGGCGTCAGTTATTAGAGAAGGGGCTAAGGTGGCAAATTGGTAATGGGAAATCAGCTTCTTTGCTGAAATCCAATTGGGTACCCCAACTCCAACTCGATCCCCTAGTTTTTAATCCTATGATCATTCCGGAGGGTGGTGATCCACCCGTGGCGGACGTTATTTGCCAAGGAGAGGGACGGTGGAATGACCAAAAACATAGTCAGTGGTTTGATCCGCCCTCTTGTTGGGCCATTAAAGTGATTCCTCTTCCTCGCCAGAATGTGGAGGATAAATTAATTTGGCATGATACGCCGGATGGGTTGTTCTCGGTCAAATCTGCTTACCATCTAGCTGTGAATTTGGACAAGCAGAGAGATGGCTGGAAGGCCACGGTTAGCTGGATGGATAAAGCGAGTTGGATCCGGTTGTGGAATGCAAATATCCCCCCTAAATTGAAAGTCTTTGTCTGGCAGATTCTTAATCGAATCTTGCCAACTACTGAGGCCCTTATCAGCAAGGAAGTGCCAGTTCTCCCTAGATGTCCGGTTTGCTGGGGTGGTCCGGAAACGATGGATCATTTGTTTCTTGATTGCCCTGTGGCGCGAGCTCTGTGGGACTACTCCGGGCTGGAGTATGTAGGGGAGGGTTTGGCCCGACACACTTTCCCTTTTTTTCTTAAAAAGGTGATGGCCTTGATTGACCAACCCCAGTTGTTCATGGCAGTGGTCGCTATCCTGTGGCGGATTTGGCGCTCACGAAACTGGGTGGTCTTTGAAGGCAAGTAGTGTGGGTTCCCTGCCTTGATGCGTCAGTTTCATCAGCAGTATGAAGATTGGGTGCGTCTGCCGAAGGATAAGGTTCTCCAGCCTTCGGCGCCGGTGGGGGAGGATATAAGGTTAGGAGAGACTGGGGGGGTCGTTTGTATGTGGGATGGGGCGATTCGGCCTGGGTCACATTCGGCCGGTGGAATTGTCTTGTTATCCCCTGCTCGAGAGGTCCTTCTAGTCAAGGGAGTCCACTTCCCTCTTCCGGGCGATCCGATGACGGTGGAGCTACTGGTCCTTAGGGAGGCGGTCTCATGGTGTCTGGCAAATGGCTTCACTAATGTCTTATTTGAAGGGGATGCGAAGGTGGTCATTGATAAACTCAACCAAGGGGAGGCTAGAGACAGTCGGGTGGGCGCTGTTTTGGAAGAGGTCTTACAGTATTTTCGTATCCACCCAAGTTTGAGGGTTCGATTTGTAGGTCGGCGTAGTAATAGGGTAGCCCATTTGGTGGCTAGGAAAGCCCTCTCTTTGTACTCGATCATGGATCGTAGCTTTAATTATCAGGCCTGGCTGAATTCCAGGGTGTAACTATCTTTTTTCTTATCAATACATGATTATATTTTGTCAAAAAAAAAAAAATAGATGAAGCCTGTTTGCGATTTGTCCAATTGTCGCTTCCGGACTTATGTTTATCAATATACAAAAATTCTTCCAAATCAAATAATCGCTTGGGTGAACGGGTAGTACGGGTACCCGTAATATCCAAACGGATATTAACGGCTAACTCATGGGTATTCGTTATAGAACTTATTGTTCCCAAATCTCATCCATCAAAAATATTACGAGTATTTAGGTACCCGTAACCCTCAAAAAATAAGACGGGTATGGATATACCGAAATATCCGTTTCTCGTTGCCCACGACCCTAATTTTACCCCTACTTCCCACTCTCATTTCCAATCACTAAAAAAGGAAAAGAGAATGGTACTTATAGCTCCACTTCTGAATCTTTGCCCGGGGCAACGTTTAACATCATGTGGTAGTAGGCTAGTAGGTGCCCACAAAAGCCATATGATTTGCAGCTTGCAACCTACTAAACCCAAAGCCAGCTCACTCCTTCAATCCCAACTTGCCTGCCAGCTCCGCCTCGCACTGACGCACTTTCCCCCTTTGTCGTCGTCCACCATGTTCGCCGTCCTGCAGCAGCCACCGCTCTCTCCTCCTCCAATAATCTACAACATAAAACAACTCCTCCCACCTTCCTTCCCCATTCACCCCCACAATATGGCGTCCCCTCCTCCTCCTCCTCAACCACCTCCCTCTTCCTCTCCTCTTCCTCCTCCTCCCTCTTCAATCATCAATCCCACATTCACCGAGCAAGAATGGCTGAAGCAGATCGACAAGTCCATCCAACTCGGCCCAGAAACCATAACCCAAAACCTCTCCTCCATCTTCAAAGTCCCCGCCTCCCTCTCCTCCGCCCAGCCCCAATCTTACGCCCCGCAGCTCGTGGGCCTGGGCCCATTCCACCACTTCCAACGGCGGCTCTACCAGAACGAGCCCCTCAAGCTCGCCGGCGCCGAGTTAGCCCTCAAGCGCCTCGATTTTCCGGATTTCCCCAATCTCGTCCGACAAATTGTTCCTCTGCTTCCCACCATCCGATGCTTCTACGACACCCACCTCGATCTCGCCGACGAAACCCTCGCTTGGGTGCTCGCAATCGACGCCCTATTCGTCGTCGAGATGCTGTACAATCCGCAGTTTCTATTGCCTCGGACCGCGAACTCGTTCAGCTTCTCCGAGAAGCTCCGCGCCATCACCGGCGACATTGTGATGCTCGAGAGCCAGATTCCTATTCACTCTCTGTTTTCCCCTGAAATTTCGACGGTTCTGGCTCCGATGTTGGAGTCTTTCTGTAGGGTTTTAGCTCCTTTCAAGCTAGGGGATCTGTCTGGAGATGCTGTCAATTTGAAGCCCAAGCACCTCCTGGATCATGTCTACCAGCTGATTTTACAGGGAGAAGATAAACCCGCGGCAGAGGCGGCCCGGATTCCGGCAGACGGAGGCGAACCGGCGGCGGCACCGGGCGAGGGATCTACCCAGATCGACGTTTCGAAATTGGACACTCTCGCCGACGAACTTTCCGAGAAAGTGGATGATGCTAACGAAGACATCGGCTCTCCTTCCACTGTAACTGATGAAATCGAGAAGCTTGCACAAATTCAAGGTACCCAATTCTCTTCAATCAGCTGAAATTCATCATTTGAATTGCCGATTGAAAATTGAAATCCCCTGCATACTCAACGGATTCTTTCAAGTATACTCAATTGAATTAAGTCAAAGCTTCGAACTCTGCGTATTGCAGTGATCAGCACGCCGATCAGCAGCATCTTCAAGATCCTGGACGTGCTGGGCTTCTCCACAATCGTAAGCAAAGCATTGGAAGACGAAAAGACCCTCGTCCCTTCGGCGACCGACCTCAAGAGCGTCGGGGTGAAATTCTCTGCCACCACCGCCGGCTTAAGAAGCATCAATTTCAACGACTCCACCGCAGTGCTAACCCTCCCGGTGTTTCTCTGGAAACCCAGCATCGAGATCGTGATCAGGAACCTCGTTGCCTACGAGTCCCTAGCCAAACCCGACTCGGCGATCCTGACCCGGTACACGCAGATGATGCGGGCCATGGTGCAGAGCAAAGAGGACGTGAAGTTGCTTAAAAAAGAGGGAATCGTGGAAGGGAACGTCGACGACGAAGTGGTGGTGGCGCTATTCGCCGGGATGGTGGGAGGGTCTTCTCCGGTGGCTCCGGCGGCGGGGACGATGACGGTTCTGGACGCGACGGTGGGGAAAGTGAACGAGTACTATAGTGGGAAGCCAATGGTGCTGATGTCCAAGATTTGTAAGCTGCTTGTGAATGTGGGGTTGAGGGTTGTGATGTTGGTCGGCGCCATTGTTCTTCTGGGGATGTTCGCGGTTCAGACTTACTGTAGTATCTACGCTTGTGGCGGGACCGGCGGTGGGGTTGGGATTCGGGGGTTGTTGAGATCGCCGGTGGGACAGAGTGTTCCTTCTTCTCTTTGGTCCTCTGTATAGCTCTGCTTGTACTCTAATTATTTTTGGGCAAAATTATAGCTCTACATTATAATTGTCATTATTATGTTTTTAATATATGTTTAATTATTTTTTTAGTAGATATCTTTAATTATTTTGGTGATGTAATAATGATAATTTTGTAAATTCTTCTATTTAATGGTGAATACGGACTACGGAGTACGGTCCGCCGGTTCCACACTTGATCTCTTTTGTTTTCTTTTTTCATACTCAGTTTTTCAATAGTATCATATCATATTGCTCTAGCGTTTTAACAGCTAATTACATGTTTGGTCCTCCAAATTATACAAATTTTTCACGTTTGCTACTTGAATTACTTTTCTTTCTTATTCGTCACTAACTTTACGAATAGTTTCACCGTTAGTCACCGGTCGTTACACTTCGTTAAATTTGTCATATGTGGCAGTCAACTATAGAGTTTGACCGTTAATTAGATGACGTGGAAATTAAAAAAATTAATTTAAATTTTCATCTCATCATTCCACTTACTTTGTCCGTATGATTTATCATATTAGTTACTTCATAAAAAAATAAAAAAAAAGCCATGTCCGCCGGTCTCGATTCCCGACCCAGCTTGCACAAAATCGAGTCCGGATCAGTCTCCGGCCTAGTGCTCGAGCTCGTTTACCCAGTGGCAGATCCAAAATTTTTTTATAAGGGTGTCCTCTTCCAAAAATCCAATTTAATTCAAAATTAAATTAAATAATTCATAAATCAAAAAATATCTGACTAATGCAAATATACCATATTAGACAATAATTCACGAACTGATCGCATATTCTTTTTCTAACCTTGTTCCTGGTGTAACTAAAACTTGAAAGACTCTTTCAACTCTTGCAGTATACCTATAAAATCAATTCAAATTAAGGATAGCTCGAATGAGTTTAATTGTTAGGTTTTGAAAATAATAGAGAATAAAGAATAGTGTTTTTACTATAACATAATGTTTAAAATAGCACAACAAATGAGTTGCAACCTAGAGAGTATGTAGAGATGGCAAGTTGGCAACGGGTCGGGTTGGGCGTGGATAGTGCATATCCGTTACCCTATCAAAGTAGTTCGGGTTTTAACCCATACCCACTAAAGAAATGGGTAGAAAATTAAAATCATGCCCATATATATTTTTATGGGTAATAAATTATCTTTATAACTTCAACCAATATGTTAACATTCACATGTATTCTCACATTACATAAGACTCGCAATGCAGTTAAAAGCGCGAATCTACCTAGAAGCGGAAAATGGGTAAAATCGTAAAACGTAGAATCAAAGCGTAAAAACGTAAGTTTTTTACGCACCCTCTACAATAGCTAAAATATGTTAAGTACAACATATAGTATGTAAAAGGTGAGTGTGTAGATTTTAGATAAGTGAATAACTACATGAAATTCATAATTAAAATGTAATATCCAACACATAAACTAATTTGTGTTGACTCAAAAGTAAAGAAAACTCATAACATCTTAATAATAAGCTCATAAACGTAGATCGTAACCCGTAAACGAGTTTGAGAATCCAAATTCTCATACGCTGGTTTGAGTTTACATAATTACATACGATCAATTACCCATAAACTTTTATCGTAACCCAGGTAAGAGCCACAGGTGAAGATTAAGGGAGAAGACTGATAAATGGTCAGCGGATGTTGAGAACACCGTTAGGTGTCTTTTCAACCTAATGTGAAGCCCCTATCTCGATACTAGTTGTAGAATGAGTGATGAATCATGTTTCCTTTTTTTATTTTTGCTGATATGTCTCCAAAATTACATCATTTTGGCCCAATTAGCACATTTTTATGAGATTATCAAAATAATATAAAAACGCTTCAGAATCGCGATTTTATCGATTTTAAGCGATTTTACCAATTTTGCCCATGTTTTTACCAATTTTTGTGACTAAGCGACTTTAGATAGAAACTGAAACGTTTTGGTGGCCTGGATACGTAAAAACGTAAGTTTTTACGTTTTAATGCGCGATTTTGACTGCACATGATAAGAGGAAAAGCACGACAATAATTCACTAGAATAAAGAAAATTAATTAAAACAAAACAATTGCATAAAAATGTTATATTTATATGCTAAATAAAAAATATGTTCGAGAAAAATAATAATTTTCTAGACAAAATACATGTGCATGTGTATAATCGGGCGGGTTCGGATTGGATAGTGAGAAAACCATGCCCATCCATTACCTGCAATATTCGGGTTCGGATTTTACACATACCCACTAAAAGTCCTTCGGGTTCGAGTTTTTCCCTACCCAATTAGGTTGGATTCGGGCGGATATCCACGGCTACGGATATTTTTGCCATCCCTAAGAATATGTTTAATAATAGTAGTGTCCTTGGTTTGAATGACATAGAGTACTACTTTTTTTTTATGACGAGGAACACCCTCAACGGTCACCACCTTCGGTGATGTCGTAGTCTGGCCAAATCTCGGGACCTCCGTCAGCAGTCCGGGAAAATACTGGGTGCCTCAGGGAACACCATGGCAGCGGTGAGGATCGAATCTGGGACCTCTTGGTCACCAGTTCGCCTTCCTTACCAACAGGCTATGTGACCTTTGGCTACTTATATATTTTTAATCATACGCAAACTACTACCGAAGACAGGATAATCATTTTTTTAAATTTAAGGGTGTCCCGGATTACCAATTTTTTTTTTATCCATACGAAAACTACTACCGGGGGTTGGAAGGATACCCCTAAAGGCCCATGTATCCGCCACTACGTCTACCTTTCCATCTTCGTCTTCTACAATCGCCACAACAAGGGCCGCAAGAAGGTCCTCCCGGGCCTCCTCGGCGAGGTCGTGCTTTCAGCGTCATCATCGATACACATAGTGCTTTGTCCAGTCACCGACGGAGAATTGATCGAGCTCCATTGATACGACACTGTTCTTCTCGGCCGACGATCTATACTCTGTTTTTCTATTAACAAATTACAAGGGGATGAGATCGGGACACTAGCTTCTGCTTGCAAAAGACGACATGCTATTCGGTTTCCTAGATGCCGGCGGGCAGCTCAGGATCGCTGGGATCTTGAATTCCGCCAATTTCTGTGTTTGGAACTCCTCGTCGCTATAATTGACGATCTCCTTCTCCACTGGATTATTCCGACCTAAATTATCATTCAGAACTATAACGTCGTCTTTGCCGCCGTCGTTGCAAGCCTGGGGAGTGCCCCGGAGACTGATCCCGACTCGAATTTTGGGCAAGCTGGGCCGGGAATCGAGAACGACAAACTTGGCGTTTTTTTGTTTATTAACAAAGTAAGTGGAATGATAAGGTGGAAATTTAAATTAATATTTTTAATTTCCACGTCATCTAGTTAACGGTAAACTTTATAGTTGACTGACGTAGGACAAATTTAACGGAGTGTAACGGCCGGTGACTAATGGTGAAACTATTCATAAAGTTAGTGGCAAATAAGAAAGAAAAGTAATTCGGGTGGCAAACGTGAAAGATTTGTATAATTTGAGTGACCAAACGTGCAATATAGCCCGTTTTAACATATCAATCTTACTTTAATTGTTTTGATTTTAGACAATCTGACCAAATTAATCTGTTTGGCAACATAAAATGTAGATGAAGCAATTCTGCCTGCGAAATTTCGTTTTTCTTCTGTATAATATAACCCTCAAGTTAAAAAATAATCGCCAAATTCGCTCATCATAACGAAAATAATCAAATATACATGACATGTGTTTCAGTAACGAGTTTACTTATATGCTTATTCGATTCAATATGTAACATACTTGAACAAACTTTAAAATTGGAGACTATAATATATAAAAGATATAATACATGTATTTGTTTGTTGAAATGAATAATACAAGCGCCATTGGTGGCATTGGCTTAGGCGCTGTGTTTCGGAATCATCACGACCATTTTCTTGCGGCTGCAGTGAAAAAGATACGTGGGACTTATGAGGTGGAAATGGCGGAAGCTCTCTATGCGGAATTTAGCATACAGCTTGCTCATCAGCTTGGCTTCCAACATCTGCAGCTGGAACTTGACTGTCTCCCGTTGGTTGAGAAGTTTCGACGACCAGAAGGTATCCAGACTGAACTTGGGCTCATAGCTAAACGCATCGGCGACCTCCTGCAGGCGACGGGGTCGAATACTAATTGTATCTCCCATGTGAGGCGATCGGCGAATAATGCAGCGCATATTATGGCACGCAGTGAGACCCGTTGGGATAGTAGAGAAGTGTGGGTAGACCAACCACTAATTTTCCTTATCGACCAACTTCGGTTGGATGATGTAACCGCTGGTTCTTAAATAATATACGTCTGCAGGTTACCTATAAAAAAATGAATAATACAAGAATGTATCTGCTAACATGGAATCTATAATATATTTAAAGCAATTCATGGGTTGGAATTGTCTCATTTCAAATTTCGTGACCCGAGAGTAATTCTAGGAAGATTATTTTTTATATTTCACCCAATTCATCTTTATATATTGAAAATGTCATTATTAGGATTTGAACCATGGTCACTTAATTGAAGACAAGGCATTATAACTAGGGGTGTGCAACGGGTCGGTCCGGACCGGACCAAACTCATGAGGACCGCAGTCCATTAGTGAAATACATCTTAGAACCAAGGATCGGACCATCATTGCATTCGATCCATTAGGGACGGTTCGGTCTGGTCCAAATATTAGCTCAGTCCATCATTTCTTCAGTAATTATAAAATTCATGTGGACCAAGGACCGGACCACATTATACTCGGTTCGGTGCGGTCCGGTCCAAATTTTGGTTTGATCCAGTGTTGTCCGGTACAGACCAGACCATTTCACACCCCTAATTATAACCAACTAGGCTACATTATATTTATTGGTATTTTTTTTTTATTAAACTCTAGAATATGTTTAGTGATAAGTGTACGTGGGCACTGGGCCGGCCTACCCATGGACTAGCACGACACGAGCATGAACATGAAATATATAGGCAATCCGGGCATGAGGTGGATCGTGTCGGGTCTAATATTTTCATATCTTATTGATGAGTATAAGAACGAACATGGCACGAAATAATATTTATTTGATATAATATTAATATAGATAGAATTAATAATCTACAAAAGATATAAAGGCAAAAATGGGTTGGCTTTTTAGGGATTCAAATTTCCAACCACTAAAGA